TAGAAAGAGCGAGAGAGAGAGAGCAAAAAAAATCACTAGAAAGAGCGAGAGAGAGAGAGAGCGAAAGAAGGAAAAAAGAAACGAATGAGAAAGAGAGCGAGTTAGTGATGTGTCTGATCCAATTCCCTTTTTTTTTCTTCTGGGATTTAATATATCTAACTCCTTACCCGTAATAATGTTGATCTAAATCGTATTTGATTGCAAAATCGATTATAGAATAGTCAGCCTCCACCCTTGCTTTCATTACCATATCATTTAGAATGGCGGTAGTGATTGGATTTCTTTTCTTTATTAAAAAAAAAGAGTGCAAAGTATTCTACCTACCGAGTCGCATTAAAATTAAATTTTTCTCGAAAATTAAGAAGCTGACGTTAGGAGAGAAATCAAGGCGCAGTTGCTGTCAAAAGTGATTTAATTTCAGAACTCTTGGTACGCAATGTTCTGAAAGATAAGGGAAAAACAATAAGATGTACACCCTCTTACAAAGAATTTTATAGTAACATATAACTTTTCGTAGAGTTAGCAAATTCTATGAACTTTGATTGTAGTATGGCGTGAAACGTATGTGAATAGATTCGTAACTCAATTATTCTTCACGTTTCTTTATACAGTTAAATCACCAATCTCCATGGGAACTGTCGTCGATTTCACGAAGGCCTAAATATATTATATATAATAGTGTAAAAAAGAATGATGTAATTTCTTGAACAGTATAAAAATGATAACATATTATAAGACGTCTGCTGTTAATGTTAGCAGAATACTTCATATATTTCATCATGATCCTTATACCTATTTGTCATATAACTGTTCCAGTTATTTATAGGTGGAGTATTTCAGGTTTTTGGTACGACAAGAGCTACGTTTTAGATTAAGATGTTCAAAAAGTCAGCATATGGTTAGTTACAAAGTTTGGATAGTAACACTTACTTAACACGCCTGAATGAACAAACTCTTTGGATTTTATGTTGCTGTACTTGTTTAACCATTTCTCTGATATGTCAAGAGTTGTGTTTGTGCATCAACTTCCAAAATTGTGTTTTGTTAGTTACAAAACTCACTCTATATTTTGTTGTGTATTTTATGTGCTTAGTTTGTCATAAAAGTATTATTTGTTTATGATCCAAATTTTGTAATAATACATATACTGAGTTTGGTCGTCGATGATTTAAGCGACCTCAAGGCTTAAGAGAGCTTCGATAATTCAGTTATTCGGTCCAGAAAAACACCAACTTTTTCTGCAATAAACAAGGATCACAACGAATTTTGATATCTAACCCTAGTTTTTAAAAAGATTGCATCACATACCAAAATAACGTTGACTCTGAACGACGTATAATTCCCCTTTATGATATTTTATACCTGACTTGTTGGCGTAACCGGAATGAATAACCGCACACTGACTTTCTTTTACATATGATTTTCAGTCCCAAAATGAACGGTTATAATTCCCAAAATAATTAAAAAGGTAATTTAACATTTGATTATTACTCTCAAAATAAACAGAAAGATAATTTAACATACGGTTTTAATTCCTTATATTAGAAGGAAAATGATTTATCATGCGGTTATCACTTCCAAAATAAACAAATGATAATAATTTAATATAAGATTATCATACCCAAAATATCGAGAAAAGTAATTTAATATTTAGTTATAATTCCCGACATAGTGAAAAAAAAAGTGAGGGAATGACCTTTTCTCACTTCTATAAATCGAAAAGCTTAATCTATAATATTTGTCATCCCTTCTTAGTAGCTCCCTGCAATTTTCAAAACAAACCAAGCCTTTCTTAGTATACATTAACAATAATCTTCCTGGACGTTTATCTAACCTATATAAATGCCAGTGTGTGTCACGTCACGCTTGATTTCTCGAAATAGGAGGAGTTATAAAAGCCAAAATGCATTTATCCAGATAGAACAGTTCGATTACTGTCTGCCCATTACGATTTCAGTGATGGGGTACAAGGGGGACGTGAGGGGTGTTTGTGCCGTGAAACCTTATAAGTGTAGTGAGTGTTGGTATAATAAGCCTAAAGTAATAACGTAGTGTGGGATGACCTAGCCTAGAGCCAAGTGCATGAAATTTATCATGAAAGTAAAAATACCGATTCAATTTTAAATTTAAATCGTTTCTGAATGAAGCTATTTTCTGTTATATCACCAACGTTTTTAATAACAAAATTTTAATCAACGAAGACTCTAAATTAAGAAATCAACACATATTTTTCCAGTTTTGTTGTATATACATTTCATTTCATACTTTCAGTACATAGACTAACAAGAATATTAGGTTATACTTTTGTTGCTAAGCAACATGACGTGAAAGTCATTGTTGGAACGTAGTGTTACGCACTTTGTTTTCTATGTATTAGAAGTTGTTAATCTAAATCATTTTTACCAATAATTATTCTATGAATACGCCACGAGTTTATTTCAAGAATGATCTTAATTTTGATTGGGTCACAGAGGAATTTACCGACGTTTGACTTCCTCGACTGCACCTTTTTGCCTCATTGTTGGTTCAAACTTGATTTCGCAAAATTTATTCATTTCAGTTAACTGTGAAATGAGATGCTAGGGTATACTATGGAGTGTGGATGGTAGTACTTGCCCCGTCATTTTTGACGGGTTGTACGCTGGTGTAATAATGATAAACTTAGTTAAGGTTCTAGTAATAATAATCAGATTGTGTGGGGTCTTAAACCTACTTTAACGAGGTATATGTGAACTCGTACTGTTTGCATCATTTATATGTGGCCTGGCATGGCCAGGTGGTTAGGGCGCTCAACTCCCAATCTGCGGATCGTGGGTTCGAATCCTCGTCCCAATAAACATGCTCGCCCTTTCAGCCGTGGGAGCTTTATAATATTACGGCCAATCCCACTATTCGTTAGTAAAAGAGTAGCCCAAGTGTTGGCGGTGGGTGATGATGATTAATTGCCTTACTTCTAGTCTTACACTGCTAAATTAGGGACGGCTAGCGCAGATAGTCCTCGTGTAGCTTTTGCGCGAAATTCAAAACAAACCAAAGTTTTGCCATCGTTTTAACGTCGTGATTGGTGGGTGTATTATATTAGTAAGGAGTTACCTCTATGATTCATTGGCCAGTTACCACTTTTGTGATAAGAAAGAGCAGTGGTCTTGAAATGCGATTAGTTTGTCATATTATTTGCATTTAGAGGTTTCGTTTATATTTATTTCGAAACACTTCGAAAAGTTAAAATAACTTTACATTTTCTGCAGACCTAGAGAACTTTTTCTCTTCAGTTGGAATAGAAATCACAACATTTGAATTGCCCCCTGAACCCCGCTGGGGATTTAAGAGGCCCGGCCCTCAAACCGCTTGTCCAATTAGTGGTTCGCTAAGAATTCTTTAGATGCGGTACTAAGAAATAGCATAGAATGCGAAATACTGCGCTAATTCTAAATGAGAATTTATGAGTGAAGTAAAGAAGAGTGTAATACCAATATGTCAACCACGCTATGTCTGTTATATCCAGTGCTAACTTAGGACTACTCCATCTGCACCCCTTGTACAGTGCGCAAGTGCGTGAATGTACACATGCAGGGCAATTCACGAGCTCTGCCTATATATATATATATATTCCTCACGGAAATGTACTTATAAACCTTAAGGAAGCTCTCGGTTTTCTGTAAACATCCCCGTTGTGTTAAAAAAGGGCAGGCGAGGCGCTGCTTATAGACCAACGTTTACACACAGTTGGTTAAGTTACACATACACCCGCTGTATACAATAAGCAGAGTGTATTTGACGTGTGAAACTCCTGCTCCGCGTGCTACTCTTGTCACGTGAAGTCATTTTGAACTGGACTACTGTCGAGAGAAGAGTGATAAATTCGTTTTTTTTACTTCGTTATGTGTCATTTCACTGAACAATATATTTAAGCACTGCATTCGTATTTTTTTAACGAGTATACTTCTAAAAAGAATTGCCTTGTTAGTGTAATCTTAAAGCCCCCTGAAACGTGTATATTATGCACGACATTTTTTTATCGCTAGGTTAGCTTCGGAAACTATAAAATTTTGATCGTTTAAATTGTGTAGGCTGAGACGAATTAATTACAAACATGGCTGCCAATTAAATCGTTAACTGATATAGAAAAAAAAAATTAAAATACCACAATTAAGAAGGGCCATTATAAAATTAGCGTCAAAGTTTCATGATGGTTACTTACTTCTTTCGAAAATTGTTTTCAACGAGTGTCGAATAGTGTATTCAGCTGGAATAAGAATTTTAATTAAGTAAATTCTGCTTAAAGTATATAGACTGTAGAACATTATAAAACAATGTAGTGAAATCGCTAGAGGAAGGTCGTACAAATGAATCAAGGAAACTTTTCAGTATAGTTAGGAAACAAGTCGCGAGAATCGGTTCGGATTCAGATACGCCTAAATAGATAAATCAAAAAGTTTTTAGTTGTTGTTGTGTATTACAGCGTAAATCTAGGCCATTGAAAATTCACACTCGTATGTATTTATATATATATATAATGGGAAAACCTTCGTACCGTAATACTACAAAAATCATGCAACGGGGAATATCCTGGTTTCTGGACAAAAAAAAATACTTACAAGAGTTCATGTCCTTCTTATTGGTTTAGCATCCATAATGTGGATTTTTTTTTAGTTTTATATAAGAATTTGTTTAAAGGGATCTCCCCCGTCGTAATCAACTATGCACGGATTGGCCATATAGTACAGCTCTGGATTTTGGAACAGACTAGCCAGGTTAGAATCTATGCGATACCACGATATATTCCTTGCACTTTAAGCTGTGGGTGCATTATTAAGAGTGGTAAGGTGCTGTTGACTGGATGCCTTCGCTTTGGTCAGTAGTTCAAATTTTGGGACTGTGGCAAATAGCTTTAGTAATTTTCCCATAAAGTAAAAAATACTGTAATAAATTTTGATGCATGATTACACATATTCATTTTCTTCTGCCAGTTACCAGGAGCGTAAAACTATTTAGGCTTAGCTCTTGTATCTCTTGTAGAACCAAGGTAATTCTATCTTGGTAGAAACCATTGTCTGGCTGCAGATTGTCCCATAAAAGTAGGTGATTATTGTTGGGGTGTCGTCGAAGACAATGTCGTAGTGAAAGATGCAATAGGAAACTTATGAAAAAAAAACAACAACAAAGAAACTTTTTATGAGAAGTTTCTATCTTCTTTCAGTGTAATAACTCCTTTCGAAAACTAACAACACCATTTTTCATTTTGTAAATCACAATGTTTTCATTAATCTCGTGCTATTACAGTAATTACCCCTCCCTTACATCAAAACACGCAAAAAGACTCGTTGCGTGTTCCTTGCAACAAAATGATATATATATACACACACACACACACATCTATACACTAAACTTGTAACACCATTTCAAACTTTTTTGTATGTGTGATTAATCGAATGTTTCTCATGTAATATTTATTCAGTTACTTTAAGCGTACTGGAAAGTTATTAATTTTTTTATTTTTCCCTCCTCACAGCAACAAATGCACGCTCAGCAGCTGCCACCTCACGCCCATGCCCCGCCTATTCCCATGATGCCTCACGCAGCATTAGCAGGTTTACAGCCACCGACAATGCCACCAAGCAGCGCCGCTGGGCTATTGGCTTTATCAGGGTCCTTGGCAGGTGGCGCCCCCACTTCTCACCTCTCTAGCAGCACTTCTGGCTCTTCATCTGCACTCAAGGATCATCGAGATGACAAACGTACCAACTGTACGTGTTTAAAATTAGTATTTTATTTTTCTTCTTTTCGTTCTGGTTAGAACAGATTTTTCGTTTTGTTGGTGTAATTAAATAGATAAAAAGAAACATTTTTACTCTACCGAAAAAGGTTAGAGAATCGATTATTGATTATTAAAAAAAAAAAATGTAACTCGCATATTTTTTAACATGTATTTAGTAGACTGAGATAAATTAAGATGTATTAAATATGTGTTCGTATTTATAATTATTTTTGTAGCGACCAGTAAACGCATAATTTACAAGTATTCAAAGCTATGACAAGAAATAATTATTAACTCTGAAAAAAAAAGAACATTAAACGAGATAGATATATTAAAAATTATATGAGCGAAAAGAAAACAACAAAACTATGCAAATGAATGATGTATCTGGAAAATAAGATTCGTCCATTAATAAATATTTAATACACTGAAAGGAGACAACTATTTGTCTCATAAAATTTTACACATAGAATATGATTTATTATTTAGTTATTAATTCATAATTTTTACTTTGATGTGTAATCAGCGTAGCATGATTTATCAAAAACGGACAGTTAATTTGATCTTTTCGGTATATAAGATAAACAAATTGTTAGTATACTTTTGCAAGGCTTTGAATGAGTATCTTCTTTAGAATACATTACGGAGTCTCCTTGATTACGATATTTTTTACTGTTCATAATATGTTTTATAATTAACTATTAAAATCAGTTTTTAAATCTCATTTATTTTCTCCGTATTCTTCGCATTAGCTTTTTTTCGATGTTAACATGCTTTTCTGTAGGGATTTTTTTAATAGTCGAAAACTGCTGAATGTGTACGAGCGCGTAATTGTCAGCCGTTATACAAGTACCCATTTGGCGCGAAGCCATATTATCTCAACATATACTACGTGGCGCGCTTTTCAGCGAGGCCAGAGAAGGTATGTAAGCAGGCAGCCCTTGTAGATGGTTTGATTGGATTTTATGAAAGAGGAATGATCCGACCGAAGCTCTCGGGAGAGAAATTTCACCGCAGTTATTAGATTACACCATAAATTAACAGTAGACAATTAACGTTCAGCAGACGAAGAACTCCGCCGTCCCGCCGCCTGACATACACCCTTTTACAAGTTATTAACGGGCTCTGTAGCTAATCGCTGTTCTCGGCTAGCTTGTCATATACGAACAGCCGTCGCCACGGAAATCCCGTTCTCTCATCCTCTGCGTGTATTCATATAGGTTGTTTAATTACAATGAACACGTTAAGTATAATTGGCCGCGAACAGCGAGAAATTACAGAATGGCAGTAGAGTTAACATTATCTTAATGTTTAATAATATAATGAGGACTCATTTAGGTGGCTTTTTTAAGTTTTTAAAGCATGTAATACTGATATTTTCTTCTGCCGAATTAAATTTCTTAGAAATTAATGAGTTTCATTGTTTGTTTAAAACCTGTTTTACTTTCTATCAAAAGCTCAATCACCGGTTGTTATTTTGCACATTACTAATACAATTTTCCAATTTTGATGTTAGAAAATGAATGTATGTAATTTTCCTGGCCATAGACTTTACATTGAATAATAATGTATGTGAAGCGTAATATTTTTGCAAAGTAAATTATATTATGCAATTAGTTTTTGGTATATATTTAGATAACCTTTTCTGTACATTCGTATAATCGTTGAGGGAAAGAAACAACGACAAAGTATGAAAATATGGAATGATTCAAGTGCTTTTCGTTGACAGTTTTTCACAGTTTGTTTTTATTATCAGCTTTCAAGCCGGTTATTGACAGTCATCTTTCTTATCAGCAAACATCTACTGATTAAAAATTCATCAGGTGTGTGTCTGAGGAGATTACCACAAAACTTAACTTAAGAGTTTTCGAATTAATTGAATGCAATTACACCGCACGATTTACATATATTTAACTATGTTGTATAATAAATTTTATGTTTTGTTTCTTAAATTCTTTACTAATGAGTATCTTTTTTACCCGATACCATTTCTTGGATGTTTCTTTCAATGGCTGTATTTTGAATGTGGAATGTATATCATCGTGACTGTCACCTAATTAGCAGCTATGAACGAAGATAGGCAGGTAAATATGTTGCATCATTTTATTCGCTTTTTTCTCTCGCTAATATGAAGATTATAACAATTTAATTTTTCTTCTCAGGTATATATATATATATTTTAAAGGCTCTAAAGTTTAGATAAAGTATATATATATATATGTTTTTAGTGTTGTTTTTTCACGTAATTATACATTTTTGTTCATATTTTCTCTGATTTTCAATTTCTTTTCACAAGTCGGTATGAAGTGTGGGAGCCTGGCATGGCCAGGTGGTTAGGGGCTCGGCTCGCAATTTGCGGGTCGCGGGTTCGAATCCCCGTCACACCAAACATGCTCGCCCTTTCAGCCGTGGGAGCGTATAATATGACTGTCAATCCCACTATTCGTTAGTAAAAGAGTAGCCCAAGAGTTGGCGGTGGGTGGTGATGACTAGCTGCCTTCCCTCTAGTCTTACACTGCTAAATTAGGGACGGCTAGCGCAGATAGCCCTCGTGTAGTTTTGAGCGAAACTCAAAACAAACAAACAATAAAGTGTGGGAAACAAAAGCTTGGACTGATTGGTATATGTGGGTATATATATATATATATATAAATTATATACTGCAATACACTCCCATGGTGTGAAGTTTGATGAAGCCTTTTAAAACTTTCATAAGACTATTAGCCTAAAAAATATATATACACTCATAAATTAAACAACAACAAAAAACAACGAAATGTGTGGTAACAATAAGATAAGCTGTGATATAGAAAGTTTTATTTTTGTAGATACTTACAAAAAAAAATACAACTAGTGAAATTCTTGTTACCAACGCTTTTAAAAATGGATTTAACAAGTTATTGCATTTATTGGGACAAACAATTTTGAAAAAGGTGTTTAAAAAGCTTGCGGTGATTATCTTTAAAAATAACCGCTTTATCTTTTGCTCTTGGTGGTTCAGCGATAAGCCTGACTAACACTACAATTCGAGAATATATATCTCTGCGGTAGCCACAGTGCATTAAAACATATTACCAACTCAACCTTTTCTTAATCGTACACAGAATGTTTAAATATACGTCTGTTTATTACCAATTATTTCTAAGACATTTCTAAATACTGAACGATACGGAATAAGGTTCAGAGCAGTAAACAAACACACGTTCAGTGTTAGTTGAGTAGGTCATTTATGTTAGAAGAATCTCGCTAGATAGAACAATAACTACTGGTATTGTTGTATGTAAACGATTTTCCTGCATACCAGCAACTGTCATGGAGTATGATCTTTCTTCGGTTTTAAGAAATCAATTTTAAGATTGATGAAATTTTGAGTAAATGGACTTTGTGATCATATAATGAAATGTGCATGTATATCTTCATTACGATGGCGTTGTAGTATCATCGGGTTTTAAATATCAGGGTTGCAATAATCTTTAATGCAGTAAGGGTGTGTCATCAACCCAACTAGATTATTTAGGTGTCATGATAGCTTTTAATATGTAAGGTGCCTTGGAATTTATGATGAACGACGTTGCCGATCGAAGACCTCTACAAAGAGCGCGAAATATCGCTCACTATGTATTATGAGCAAAGTCGTGGGAAGTCTGTTAAAATCCCAGCTTTAGTTAGTTTATTCCGCTTAGAATTCCCACGAAATATTGTTTATATACATTTGTTTCTGCTATTATGTGTTATCATGGATAACACGAGACTGGAATTATGTTGTTGAACACGCCTAATAATAATGTCAGGGTTCGTCCCTTACATTAGCTGTATACATGAAACCAAAGTGAGTTGGCTAGGCCTACTAATACGCGCCCCAGTTATGTTCTGATCTATATCACCTTCATCTCCACCCTAGCAGGCCTCTTGATGTGGTTGCTGCGGGTTAAATTTCAGGTGTAGGGAGCCCATGATCAACAGTTTTTCACGGCAGGCGCTCATTAGTTTCACTTGGCTTGCTAGTTGCAGGCGGGCACTCTCATTCTTCTCGTGCTTGAAAGTTATAAAAAAAATTCTTTGGACGAGCCAACGGGAAATAGTTTCTTTGAGCCGACAGGTGTTCAGGTGTTTGATGTTATCAGTGGGAGAAGGGTGGGGGGTTGTCCTACCAACAAACTGGACAACCACTCTACTAGCACCGTGACAAATGACCATTTCATGTAAATGTTGGCAACATAAGGAAGCTTTTGATACAAACACGGGGAGAAACCACGAACAGCCACAGGAAATTAGCTAGAATTCACGTTCGTTTTCCCGCCATAGAGACGGTTTTGATGCTAGGGGGGAAAAAATAGGCCTAAAGCACAATACAGATCTCGGTTGAAAAAGCAAGTAAGGTAACATCGTATTACTTTAAATAGGGGCCCAGAGAGTGAAACATAAATTAATGCTATTCTTACCTAAACAAAATAAAGTGTCATGAAGCTAATGTCATATTACCACAACTATCGTGAAATTTATGTCATAGTAAGATATTTAAAGCGGATTCACCTTGATCAGTTTGTGCAGCAATAAATTTGCAATAAATAAATACAGACTAACATCCCAGCCAATATTGTTTAAAAATTGTGTACGTATGGAATTGTATTTTAAATTAAGAGTTTTATTTCATGAAGTTGTTATTTGTATGCAGTTTTGTCAAGGGTACAATCAAATATTTTTTTATTATTTGTGAATACACTGTTTGTTTTGTTTTAGCGAAAACATTCACAATGGGCTGGCTACTTGCGCTGTGCCTACCGCAGGGATTGAACTTCGAATTTTATCGTTATAAGCCCACATGTTTACTGGGGCTCGTGAATAGTCAGCAATAACTCTGTCTAATATCTTGTTAGCTGTATTATCTTGCTGTGAGCTCGTACGTGTTCTAAAGTGAAGTTTTAAAAAATGTAATGTTAACAGTATCGCCAGTAGTAACGATCTTTTTTTTTTCTGAAATCAATTACTTGAGTTTACAGTGTTACAATACCCTCTTTTGTTCTAAACTTATAACTACGTTTTTTGTACCAATCCAATAATTTTTTTATTTAAAGGTTCACACGAACAATGCTTTTTGTTTTACATTTCTTCGTCTATTCATTGTTTGTTTCCTTAAAATTAACTCAATAATACCAGAATATTTTGTAATGCTTTTATGAGATTGACATAAACATTTTTTTTTAATCCTTTGATTTAGTACGATGGTGTATCTTTTTTTTATATTAAAAAAATTAAACCGCTTGCCAGTGTTTCCTCATCACAATCTTCCGCTTCAACAATTTCCAATTTTGCTGTTTTTCCATTAGTTGTAAATAAGAGCTGTAAGCCTCTTGGCAACTAAAAGTGCTGTTCATTACTGGGGTTTGAACAGATCTATCCAAAGGATTACAATGTGTAGTTATCAAGCAGTAGCGTCGTTTGTGCCTTCTTTACCCCACCACAATCAAGAAAAAAAAATCCATTTTCACTACATCATCCATCATTCTCCTGCTCAGCTTTTTCCATCCTCTATTTGAACAGACATCGCGGGGGGAAATAATTTTGTCGTTTTCCACCAGCCACACCACTGATAAATGTAAAGAACAGTTTGCTTATCGCTACCTTATTGATTTCTACCTTCGCACCGCTTGCTTTAAGGATTGCTCCTTATTGGAGTGTGACCTTGTCGTTTTTACAAACCATTAGGAGACGTAGAAGAAACCAAAGAACTGCCGAAAAAGCTAAAAATGAAAGTGTGACTGAAACATAGCAAATCAATAGTTAAACAGTATTATTCGTTTGCTCCCCCAATTCCTAAACTTTTGTAGTATTATAACTGAAAAGACTTGTGGGTAAAAACGCCTAAAAACACCTTTACTGTCCAGATATGTTAATATTTAACAGGATATAACCAATTACAAGATGACTGGGGAAACATTAGGAAAGCTATGGAAACAAAATTTGTCAGTTTTATAGTGGTTTTTTTTTACCATTTTAACACTTACCTCAAGGTGTTCTAATGCTTACGAGAAGTTTTTGAGATCGAACGTGATATATTTTTTGAGCAAATGAAATCTTTTGTAAATGGATTGATGAACATAACCCGAAGTAATGAAACTTGTTGTTTTGAAACTCTTCAATTCAATATAAAAGTAATACAAATAACAACATTCTGTCTATATTATAAACACAATAAAATGTACTATAGGATTTTCTTTCTTTTTTTTTTACTTTTATTAATAAATAAAAATAGAAGTTTTTTTTCCTTTAACAACCAACTTTGTGATTTGTAATCTATGGTATTTTGAACGAACTTCATTCACTGAAATACTGTTCTTTAATCTTGGCGACACAGAGTCTTAGTTTAAAAATTCCACTTAACATTCGACATTTTTAATCCCTCTGTACTTATGTGTGTGACAGTTCGTACCATTTCAAACTAACATTTATCTTCTCACAAAATAAAATATCAATAACATTGTTAGAAGTTGTTATCGTTAGAGTACGTATTAATTCCAGAATAATTAGTTGTAACGAAATACACGGTGAAATCAACACCCCCCCCCTAACGACTTGGAAGTGGGTCTTACGGTTGAATTCTAATGACGGAAGCGCGTGACGTATGTAGAAAGCACGTGCAAGGCTTCATTTTGATTATTGCAGTAAAGACTTAACCACAGAATCCTCAAACACTCGATGCTTATACACAAGTATAAGGTTCCTGAGGCAATGTGCATTCACTGAATAGTAGATAATTCTTCCCTCCTCCATGTCCTCACGGTTAGTTGAGTCTAAAGGAAAGGAAAGGAACAGATGTCACTCATTTGACAGAGTTGGTGGATTCTTTTACCGGAAGACATAGCGTAGTTCCGGCAAGATAGCCGGCCGGAAAACACGTACATCAGTACAGAACGTATTAATGTGGCGTAACACTGGCTCTCTGGAGTTGCAGCACGGCAAGGAAGAAGGAGTAATTTTCAGTGGTCTGGAGTGATGAATAGCGCTACTCCCCCCCCCCCCCCCAACCTTCTCCTGCACTTTGTTCCTATGGTAACACCATGGAAGAAGTAAGTCATGGTTGTTTACCAGATGATTTGGGCGTCGTGAAATCGGGTTAACCACTACCATCCAGTTGTTGGGGAAAAAAAATCACCATAATAACAGCTATGAGTCCATTTATAACAGCTATCATCACGCCCATTGTTATTAAAGATATGTGTCTAGTGCATGCTGTTTCTCCCCCACCCCACCCTTTTTTTTTTCCGAGGAAAACGCCGCATTCGCCCTAAGTGATATATAGCTTGAAAGAACGCATATCCGATAACTGTTTTTAATCTTCAAAACATGTTTGCACGATATGTAGTTTGAGAATAAACTATTTCAATGAAATGTGATTATATAAGGCTGGTGTACAATATCGTTTTTGTTTTTAAGTGTTCAACTTATCCTATTTATATTCCCGATAACATCTTTAACATACAGTACGACAACTTGAACGTTGTAATGGCTAGGATTGTTTTTTTTTTTTTGCTTTTAGAATAATTCAGACCTTTTGGAGAGTATCCTATATGTAAATGCGTTGAAACTTGATACAAAAACAAATATAAGTGATATATATTGTTTCATTCTGTGTAAGATAAATGATCATATAAACTCTGAAATATAAAATAATCAATATTAAATTATATACTTTATTTAAAAAAAAAAACTTGTGATTGACTACGATGATCAAAACTTGTTAGGTAAAAAAATAATGAAACATTTTTATTTAAAAATATTTATAAATGATGCAGTTCAATGGAAAAGTGAAGATAATCAAGTTTTGGTTGCCAAAAGAAGTCTTTACGTTCATACTTTCCAATCTTTAACAATACGAGTGTTGAAATCGTCGTGCAAGAAAATGTATACATAAACTAAACGGTCTGTTAAAAGTATACGAATATTGTTGTTGTTGTTTAGAGCACATTCCATACATTCAAGAAACAAACGTTCAGAGGACTTAATGAAATATCTGGTTATAGACAAGTAGAAACAACTTGTATCTATTTGAACGATAATGTAAACTATATATGTGCACACGTCCCGATGCACCCACTTCTAGGAAATTGCTAAAAATGATGATGATGATAATATAAAATAAAACCTCTCTTTTTTTTTCGCATCTGCAACTTTTAGTCCTTTATACTACAGAACACCATAAGAATACCACATTACATCATAAGAATACCACAGTACAACATTAGACCACCACAGTACCGCATAAAAGTACCATAGTACATCATAAGAGTACTACAGTTCAGCATAAGAGTACCGCAATGCAGTATTTCATAAGAGTGCTACAGTACAGCATAAGAATACCACAATAATATTAAGAGTGCTACAGTACAGCATAAGAATACCACAATAATATTAAGAGTGCTGCAGTACAGCATAAGAATACCACAATAATATTAAGAGTGCTGCAGTACAGCATAAGAATACCACAATAATATTAAGAGTGCTGCAGTACAGCATAAGAATACCACAATAATATTAAGAGTGTTACAGTTCAGCATAAGAG